CGCCCACACTCACCCGTAGACCACGGCGGTGGCCTGGACCCAAGTCATCTCCCCGTACGGCAGCAGGAAGGTGAAAGCGCCCCATCCAAGCAGCGACAAGATGTACAGGCTCTGCGTGCACGCCCTGCGGGTGGGACAGGGACGTTTAAACTGTGTGCCCGTCTCCGCGGCCGGGGGGCCGGGGGTCAGTAGTAAAACAACACAGTGCGGGCTGAGCGTACTTGAACTTGTGCGTTCGGTCGAGGAAGAAGCCACACAGCAGCGAACCCAGAATGCCTGAGGCGATCATGATGAGCCCTACCAGGCCCACCTCCTGGTCGCAGTTCTGAAACAGAAATGGTATGTACTTTCATCGGGTGCCAGTTGACAAACATCTCTAATTTGCCCATGCAGTGCCTCTTTTGCACCCAAGCACGCTGCAACCGTCACCTTCAGAAGATAGGTAAAATCGGGAGGGGACATCAACAGTGGTGGAGATAGACGGGGTGCTCGCGGACGCACGACCAAAGTGGGAATCGTGTGTTGCTGCCCCTCGGTTTAGAGGTCGGCTTTGGAGTTTGCTAAGCGGGAGCGATGGCAACATTTACCGGATGGTGAGGCAGGATGAGCTGGCTTAGCAACGTGTTGATGGCGCAGTACACGCCGACGTTGAGCGACCAGGAGACGAGCATCAGCATGAACTGCTTGTCGGCGAGCAGGCGGCGCAGCGACGTCCAGAACTCGTCGGTCTGGCCCTCGTCCTCGCGGTCGCGCTGCAGCTGCTGGGCCGGGCTCGGGGGCAGCGGGGGCTCCTCCTGGAACACTGAGTACGGCGTCAGCAAGGCGGTAGGGAGGCGAGTAGCCGAGCCCTGGGCTCAGCCCTGCAACATACTGCAGCGGTCCTCACGGGCGAGCTGGACGACGAGCGACGCCGTGGTGCACGCCGCCATCCCCAGGAACATGGACCGCAGGTCCGCGCCGACCTGGGCGATGTCTTTGCTGTTCGGCACCAGCAGCGGTGGGATACACATGCCGGCCGCATTGCCAATCTGTTGTTTTTTGTGGTTTTGTTTTTGTGTGTTTGACAATATTATAAGTGTGAGACAGTCCTTTATATGGAATGAATGCAAAAAAAAGTGTCAGTGGAGGCACACCCACCAGGATGCCGATGAAGCCGAGCGAGCAGGCGAGCGACACCTGGTCCGGGCCGAACCACACCGAGGCTAGGCGCGGCGGCAGGAAGAGCATGAAGACCTGGCCGATGGCCACGACCACCTGCCCGACCATGGTGACCCAGAAGCGGTCGCGCCCCACCGAGCCCACCTTGATCCACGAGCCCAGCGACGTGAGCCCGGCCGCCACGATCAGCGTCCAGCGCAAGCCCTGCGGGAGGGGAGTCAGTCTCACCGGCGCGCAGGGCGTCGTAACGTAACTTGAAAGAAAACACGTAAAACCCCAAAAATAAAATTGTAATTTGAGTGCATTTTTGAAGCGTTTCTGGAAAATTCCGAGTGGTGTTCTCCGAGGAAACGCTTCGATTACGCTTTCAAATTGCATTTTAAATTTCCATTTTGTACGTTGCCTTTATGCTTTACGTTTCGACGTCCTGCTGGCGCGGAGCTTAGAGTCAAAATAGAAATTTTCGGGGAAATTTTTCAGAGAAAGTTGCAAATTTTGTGAAAACTATTAGATTTGACGAACATTGTTTTGAGTCTTCTCCCCTTTCCTTCCCTAGACGTAGCGCTAGTGTAACGCGTCCCCGTTTATTCTGCGGCAGCGCCGAGTTGGAAATCCTTTTGATACCACAAACAAACAGCGGAGGCTGAGCGGCCCCGCGGCCCGCGGGCGGGCCGGGCTAGCGAGAGGAGACCCTGCCGTGTGCCCAATGCACAGCGCCGAGGCTGGCCGAGGCCGCGTGCGCCAGCGTGCGCCCGCTCCAGCGCGCAGGCCCTTTAAGGCCCTGCCCGATGAGGGCCACCTGATCTTCTGAAGGCCGCCGCCCGTTTACTCGGCGTTCCTGATCAAAGCCCTTTTGGCCGGACCGCACTGTACCAGGTTAGCGTCGCAAGGCCGTGCGCATTTACGGTAACGATATAAACTGTAAGGTGAGCTCTAAGGTCAGGCGCGATGTGAGGGAAAAAGGGAGGGGGCGGAGAGGCGATCGCCTCTCATGTCGTATCTAGTTAGCCGCCTGAAAGATAGGCAATTTGTGCGACAAAATCTATATATTATAGGCATTTCACGGAGGGAGCATGACCCCCCCCCCTGTGCACCCGGAAAATGTGTGCAAGAATCCACCCAATATGTCTACGCCTACGCCTACCTACTAGGCAACCCTGAACGCGTGAACAAACGGTGCCTAGAACGCTGGTAGAGATGAGCGCCTGATGGGTAGGCAACGTCTGGCCTGCAGTGCACGCATGTATTGTGCCGGTTGCCTACCCTGAGTCTCACAGGCGCCGAGCTCCCGTAGTTAGTTAATTTGCCGAGCGAATCTGAGGAAAACGGGCGTACTTTCTGGTCGGATCCTTGTGG